AATTTTCTTTCCTTTTAATTTTTAGTTTTAAAACTCTTTAATTAAATATTCATCGTAAACAAGTCTTTAATTTTTTCAATTTTAATTAAATAATTTTTAGATACTTTATTTAATTTTAGTGGTAATTTGCGCCTACTTTTGACGGGTTTTATGCAAAACGTTTCTACCTTTCGTTTTTTTGACATAGAACGTCCATACCTTGCACATTTTTTGTGCAAAACGTCCATTTCCCCAAATTTTGACAATTTTTCCCTCCAATTTAAATAAAACAAAAAAGAAAAGAAAAATAAAGAATAAATTGCTATATGTTCCTAAACTTTTTTTAAAAAATGCAAATCAGTCCAAAAAAAGCCCATTCAGTTCACATTCATTCTTGGGGCTATTCAAGTATTTACACACCCTCGGGTCGTGTAGGGATCCGAGTGAGCGGCGCAGAGAACCACAAGGAGACGGAGGCACTCCTTCCTCACGGTGGGTTTCGAATCATTGCCAGCGTCATAGAGACAGTTGAGGAGCATCGAAACACCTTCATTTGATAGTGAATTTATAATTTTTTCAAGGTCCTCCACAACTAATTGGTGGATATCGCAGTCTGAAAGTTTAGACAGAGAGTTGATGATTTTCTGCTTCAATTCAACCAGACAACCATGGCTAAATAGGATGATAAAGAAGATGAAGCAGAAGATGATCTTGAAGGGGTTGCTCGGGTTAGGGGATTTTGTGGGTTTTGAGGATCTCCGTGAACTCATTTTGAAATCTTGATAAAAGAATTAACCAACAATGTTTTATGAATTAATTCAGCTTGATGGTGTGTTGTTTGGAGTGAATTGTGGCCATATTCTATGTTGCATGGACCTGGGTAGACAATTCTTGGTGGTTCGCGACCATGACGGTGGCCGGAAGAGAGATTTTCGGCAGGTTGCATAATTTCGATTTGCTGGATTTGATGCATGATTTCGAGCATATAAGTGGATGAAATGGAGAGTTCTTGGGATAAAATTGTAGAGGATGTTGAAGAGATTAAGTTGGTAGTGATAACTGGTGGTTTTGGTGGCCG